CGTGTTTATTTAAAGACTTGATTCATAAATAATCATGTGTCTTGAGAAAATAATATAGTTTTAATTTTTGTTAAAAAAAGATTTATATAGTGGCTATATAAAGATTTTTTATTACGGGTTTTTATTTAACACTTTTTTACAGAATTAGAACTACAATTAACAAAGTCCTCAAAATACAAAAATATTTTCAAAAATTAAAGCTTGTGGTCATTTTCGTTAAAAAACGCGTACGTACTTGACGACATAAAAAGATAATAAATGATAAAAAGATAATAAATCCTCTAAATCTATTAAATAAAACGATAATAAATTGCTTCTCGGCCTAATGGCTAAGATCAAGTGTAGTATCTGTTCTTATTTTGGCTCCGGACTACCTATCAGTTGGTTACGGTGTTGTTAGAAAACAGAAACAGCACAAGATCGAAACCGTAACAGTCGATTGAGGTTCTTGGCGTAGTCGCTATTTCAGTGTCTCCTTCTACGCCCGGAAATCTTAAGGTGGTACTACCCTACATATTTTATTTTTCAAAATCTGATATTTTTCTTAAAATGATAAACATTTTTCGGTAGTAGGTAAAAAACTGAATATAAAAAACATCATTTTTTTTACTTATTTGTCAATGCTGAGTCAGCAAAAAAGAGCAAAAAACATGCATTCACAAAAATATAAATAAGTTGAGTAATATTTGAGATAAAAGCTTTAAATTTTACAAACATAAGTTAAATGGTTGGTGGAGGGCCCTTAGTAGAATTTTTTGAAAATACAGAGCCAATATAAAATGGCAGATATTAACCTGTAAAATTCATAAAAAATGGTCCATGCGGTATGTAAAATTTTTAATTCTGGTCAAAATAAAAAATATTTTTTGATTATTCAACTATCAGCCCTTTCTACAACATCAATGAACAAATTGTGAAAATTTCAAAGAAAAAGAGTTAGAAATTTCTGAGATATCAATGTTCTAGTTTTAAAATATTTTATAAATATTATTCTGAGAAAAATAGCTTTTAAAATAAAAAATGTCATAAACTAAAAAAATCTCTAATTAAAAAACATCTAAACTGGCCACAAAAATATGATTAACCACCTTTAATATTTTGTTCTGTGTCAAAATGACCTTATAGTAATATCAATGAAAAAATTGTGAAAATTGGGCAAACATATAAACAGACATGGTTGCTAAGACCGTTGCTGGGGATTCGAAAATTACCTTATTGCTTTTAAATACTAATTTAAGTACTTTATAATAATTTTTTATAGGAAAAAAAATTATAATTGTGATCCAGGATGTTCAAACTGTTAAAATTTGAAAAAAAAAATTTTTCTCGTTTTTTGATGTTTTTAATAGGGTAGTACCACCTTAAGGCGTTCTGTCCATTCCGGACGTTAAATGGAGATAAACCATTAAGTTGGCGCTGCTCAGTTTCGGCTGAGTGGCAACTAATAAACCCTTAAGTGGGCCATACGCGGAGTTTCGGCTTCCTAATAACGCGTCCTTCTAGAGCCCTGTGTAAGTCTGGTTTCAGCTTCAGGTGTCTCTAGTTGGTCGGTAAAAAATAAAAAATAAAAAAATAAAAAAAGATAATAAATGCGCACGACTGTTAGTATCTTCTTTGTTATTGTTTTCGTGTTTGATAAAAACATACGCTAAAAATATTAGTCCTTATTCGGCCTTGGCGTTTTCTAGTTCCTGTGTTTCTTAAATGACCGATCTGTCTTTCTCTATGCTATCTTTCTAACTTTAATATATCTGTCTTTCACTAAAATATCTTCTTTATCCCCAACAATCTCAACCGGTACAAAAACCAGGGTGCTCAGAAAGGAGAATACTGGTTAAATGTGCGCGCAATGGTATGAGGTAATCTTTTGGTCAACTAGCTGGAGGAGTATAAATCACAATACGACACTTACTTTATGAAAACCCCCTTACGTTTCTCAAATGTAATTACGTCTCAAAGCTTTTCTCAAATTTTATGTTTTTCGATAAATCTGTTTTTCGATAAATCTTCTTTTTATTTAAAGTCAAATCATTTTAAAAACTCCGTAATAGTGCTATTAATGCCATGTATTAGTGATAGTAAAAGAGTTTTAAATTGTATTTAAAAATTTTTTCTTCAAACATTAAAGAGAACTTAAACAAAAAAGTTACAAAGTCAGTTTTAAAATACAAAAAAAAAAAATTTTTAAGTATAAAAAAGTTTTTGAAAGTGTATACGCTATTTGAGTTTTACCCACAACCAAAAATGTTAATAAAATGAGAAGTCTTGAAGAGAACTTTCTCAGAGACACAAAGAGTATAAATAAATTTGGATTATAGGATCATGGCACCCCCTACCGTGAAGAAGCACCTACCGTGGTTTTCGTAAAAACCAGCATAATTTTTCAAAAATTTACTGATTTTTTCGAAAACCACGTCAGGTGGTTTATAAAAAAAAAATTATTTCTAATTTTATTATATTAATAGGGTTTTTTACAAAACTAAGTTATTTCAGTAATAAAATATTTTTAAAAAGATATATTTTTAAAAACTTGAGATGTTTTTTTTACACACAAATGATTTTTTATTGCTTTCTTAAGAAAATCTTTAACAGTAAAAAAAAGTTTGTCTAGTTTTTTTTTATGGCTTAAAATTTATATATTTTTTTTTCGATAAAAGTTAAATAGTTGTAAAAACATTGAATATTTTAAATTTTATTAGTATTTTTTGAATAACATTGTTTTTTTACACGGTAGGTAATTACAAAAATTATATTAATTAGCTCTTACCGTTTATGGAAATATTTTTTCGGACATGTTTTATTTTGTGAAGTTTTCTTTCTAATAAACTATTTAAATTAAACTAAATTATCATTTAAAGGTAATTTATCTCTAGTGAGTATTTATTTGATATGTTTTTATACTTTATTTATGTGAAATGAGTTCGATTAGAACGATGCAAGATTTAAAAAAGGAAAAAAAACATTCGAAAAAAGCTAATGTATTCCGAAGAATAACTGCATGCAGCACTTCAAGCTTTAAAGGTGAAAATATTTTATGTGTCAGCAAAAAGTTTAATGTTCCTGAAAGTACCTTACGCGACAAATTATCTGGTAAAAGCCAACCCAAACAGCAAAATTATCTGGTAAAAGTCAACCCAAACAGCAAAATTATCTGGTAAAAGCCAACCCAAACAGAAAAACTATCTGGTAAAATGTTATATTTTGGAGAAAAAATGGAAAATTAATTGGTTGTTTGGTTAATGCAGTGCGCTAACATGGGTTTTGCGATAACAAAAAAGTTATTAATCAAGAAAGTACAAAAAACAGTTTATGGGCAAGGTATAAAAACACCATTTGAAGATGATATATCATATATTGCGGCACTGATATATCATATATTGCAATAAAAAAGACTGGTATATCATATATTACAATATCATATCACTGATATATCATATATTGCAATAACAAATATGATATATCATATATTGCGGCTCACTGCGAGTAAGACGTATTTTTTTTTAAGAATAACTTTATTTACAATAAAAATGGAAATAAATATTAAAAATATAGAAAAAATTATCACAAGTAAACTGGAAGAACAAAAGAAAAGTATCCTAGCAGAAACAGAGAGATTACTCAAAGATCATGAAAAAAACTTCACTACAATATTAAGTTCGAACTTTAAAATAATAACAGCAAGATTAGACAAAATGGACGCTGAAATAAACAACAACAAGTTAAATATCCGAAGAATTGAAAATTAAGTTAACGAAGTAAAAGTCAGCCTAAATTTTTAAGAAGAAAAAGCTAGGGGTGAATTTATTCTTATAAAAACAAAATATGATAATGAAATTTTAATGCTGAAAAAAAAATCTATTGACTTAGAGAATCGCTCGAGACGTAACAACTTACGTATCGATGGCATAAAAGAAACCCCTGTGAGTATAAAAATGACATGGCATAAAAGAAACCCCGATGGCATAAAAGAAACCCCTGAGGAAAACTGGGGTTATTGTGAGAAGGCTTTAAAAGACATCTTTAAAACAAAACTAAATATATAAGGTGAAATAGTTGTGGAACGAGCGCACTGAGTCGGTACAGTAAAAGATAAAACACCAAGACCAATCGTTTTAAAGCTTTTGAATTATCATGATAAAAATAAAATATTAAGCTCAGTAAATAAACTTAAAGGAACCGGAATTTATATTAATGAAGACTATGCAAAAGAAACGATGTTGGAAAGAAGCTTTGGGAAGAAGTTAAACGTCTACGAAACGAAGGTAAATTTGCAGTTATTAAATTTGATAAAATTTATCGTAGAGATTTTTGAAAAGAAATACGCGATGTTTTATTAAATGAAGCGCTATTTTAACTATTTTAACTATTGTAACGATTTTAAAATAATGACTAACTTAACAATAGATTTTGAAAAATTACACTTTAATGTTTTCTTTTACTTAACGGTATTTCTGACGCTGATTTGCATTTTTTTAACGAAAACAATTTTTGATCATCCTTTTTTGAAATAAAAACTTTTAAAAACGAACTAAAAACCTTAGAGAGTAATTTTACTGTAATACACATTAACATAAGAAGTATAAATAGCAACATGGATAAGCTAAAACATTTTCTTATCGAATGCGTTTATTTATTCAGTAGGATATGCCAGACAGATATAACAGACATATGATATGGCAGATAGATTTATAATATGATAGACATATGTAACAGAAACGTGGTGTTTTGACGAATTATGCAGATCTGCATAATTCGGGAATTTCTAGGAATTTCAAGGAATTTCTAAACTTGAATTTATTCTGCAGAATAAATTCAACTTTAGATTTCCTAACTACAAATTATTATCATCTGAAAGGAAAACTAACAAAAGGGGAGGTGGAATTATATTAGGAATGATCAAGTTACCAAAATAAAACCTTTCGATGACCTTTCGATCTCAGATGCCGATAGTGAGGTTTTTTAAATTGAAATAATTAGCAACAAATCAAAAAACATACTGGTTTCCACATGTTACCGGCCACCTGAAGGTGATTTATTTAACTTTTCCAATCATTTAAAACAAATTTTTATAAAAAACAATAATGAGCAAAAAAAAATATTCTGTATTGGAGACATAAACATAGATTGTTTACAATAAGATAAACATGCCAATACTAAACTTTTTTTTGACGAAATGCTTCAACATTACATCTTCCCAATTATTAACACACTAACTCCAACTTCAATCACTGCAATAGACAATATATTGACTAATTCGATCTTTGATACTTCTCTAACGGCAGGAATAATAAAAACAGATATATCTGATTATTTTCCTATTTTCTTCTCATTGACGCAAGATACAAAATCTAATAATAGTTGTAAAATTAAAACTTATATAAGAAAAATCAACAAATTTGCTATTCAACAGTTTAAGGACTCACTTTCGGCAGAAGAGTGGGATAAGGTACACCATGAATGCAATCTTGGGCACACTAACTCTGCTTGTAATAACTTTGAAAAAATTTTTCTAAAAAACTATAATATGAACTTCCCAATTAAAGTAAAATTAATAAAAGAAAAACAGTAAAAATGTCCATGTAACACCAAAGGTATTAAAAAAATCCTCAAAAAAAAAAAAAAAAAAAAAAAAAAAAGTTTATATTAAATACTTAAAAAATAGAAATGAGGCAAACCTAAATATTTACAAACAGTATAAAAACTTGTTTGAAAAAATCAAAAAAAATTCAAAGAAAAACTATTACTCAAATAAAATAAAAAACGCAAATGGTGATATTGAGAAAACTTGGGATATCATCAAAGAAATAATTGGGATAAAAACTTGCATAATAAATAATTTACCTGCTCAAATTGTCATAGACAATAAAGAGTATGACGATAATAATGCAATTTCAGAAAAATTTAATAGTTTTTTTGTCAACATAAGCCCAAATCTAGCTTTAAAGGTCCATTGTCCAAACAACTCATTTGAAAATTATCTAAATAGTGTCAACAACGAATTTATATTATAAGAACTAAAAATTGATGAACTTAAAAATGCAATAAATTCTCTTAAAATAAATCCCAGGTATAGATGACATTTGCAGTTATTAGTTAATAGCATAAGTGTTAATAAGCAATTTGTACTAGGAACTTTTATAAACCTTTCCAAAACATTTGACACAATTAATCATGATATCTTACTAAAAAAAATGGAAAAATACGGAATAAAAAATACTAGCTTAGATTGGTTTAAAAGTTATCTGTGCAACAGACAACAATGTGTTATTTCAAACGATAATAAATATTCTAATTTCCTAAAAATAAAATGCAGAGTTCCCCAAGGTTCCATTCTTGGTCCTCTTTTATTTTTAATCTATATTAACGATCTTCCACAATCACTAAAAAAACTCGATACAATAATGTTTGCTGATGATACAAATTTATTTTATTCATTACCATCAATTGAAAATCTCTTTGAGTCTGCAAACGATGACCTTGAGAGTCTAAACATTTGGTTTAAAGTAAATAAATTATCAATAAACACAGAAAAAACAAAATACATCTTGTTTCATTCCAACCAGCAAAAAAATAAAATACCAAGCATTCTACCATTATTAAAAATTGATAACATAAACATTGAAAGAACTGAAACTATTAAATTTCTTGCGATAGTTATCAACGAAACGATTTCTTGGAAAGCCCATATAAAAACACTAAATACAAAAATATCAAAAAGTATCGGTATACTTTACAAAATCAAACTTATGCATTCCCACAAGAATCTAAAAATCTTCTATTTTTCTTATATACAAAGTTACCTAACATATGCTAATATTACCTGGGGAAGTACAAATAATATAAATTAAGTTCTCTATATATACACCAAAAACACGCATCAAGATTGATTTATAATAAAAATAAATTCACTCATGCCGATCCTTTACTTAAAACTTGAATGCTTTAAATATCTATCTAGTTAACATCTACCAAAATATTTTATTTTTGCTCAAATATAAGCTCGGTCTTGTCCCAACTTAATTTACTAATAACCGGAAACTTTACGTTGCCCATAAAAAAAACAAATTTTTGGAGATTTTCAATTGTATACCATGGCCCCTATTTATACAACAAAATAATACCTCAAAATATAGAACATACTAAACTGGATAATCTTATTACCCTGAAGAAAAAACTAAAAGATCTCATAATTAACAAAACCAATTTTATCGATATGTATTAAATTTAAAAGAACAATTTAAATAACAAAATGCAAAAAGAACAATTCAAGCTATAAAAATAAAAAATAAAAATAAAAAATAAATAAAAACTAAATATGTATAATAAAAAAATATATATATATATAATAAATACATATAGTTAGCAACTATACATAGTAAAGTATTACTGAACAGATGAGTTCAAAAAGTTAATTTGTGTTTAATAGATTTACTCTTTAAACTTTTAGTTTGTTTTGTATTTTAAAGGCTCTCGATGAAAAGACTTCTCTTAGTCTTCTGCAAGTTTCCTTACAACTACATAATACTACTAATATATATATATATATATATATATATATATATATATATATATATATATATATATATATATATATATATATATATATATATATATATATATATATATATATATATAGTTTCAACGACAACGACAAGCAAGCCTCTAGTAGCCCTGTGGTGCGACGGACTTGCGTATATTTTTTGAATGCATGGGTTAATAGAGCCAGCAGTTTATTTTATAAACTACGAATTTTTAAGTTTATTATTTTAACTCGATGTCAAAAGCGCATGCGTATAACAGTTAACGCTCTTTATATATTGTAACTTGTTTACGCTCTTTATATATTGTAAATATTTGTGTGAGATATTTATATAAAATGAAGACATGTAAATGTTATTTTTTTTGAATTATATAATAATGGTTGTTGTAAAAAAAAAAAAAAAAATGATATCCCAAGTATAAACTGGTTTTATAAATTTATGCGCCGTCATAAGGAATTATTTCAAAAACGAGCAGAGCATATTAGTAGAGCCAGAGGTCTTATAAATGAAGCATCGAAAATGGTTTAATGAGGTGTATGAATTATTAGACGATGATGCGCAATACCTTAATGATCCATCTCGTGTTTTTAATTTAGACGAAACTGGTTTAGAGTTAGCACCAAAAACTGGAAAAGTAATTGACATTAGAGGAAGAAATGTTTATGAAGAAATGCAACAACAGCGATAAGGAAAACCTTACAACTCTATATTGCGTAAATGCAAATGATGAATTTGCACCATCATTAACATTGTATAAGTATGCTCGAATGCCAAAAACTATTACTGCTGCTGCACCACCAGGTTGGGGTCTCGACAAAAGCGACAGCGGCTGGATGACCGGCGAATGCTTTTATGAGTACTTTACAAATGTGTTGGTACCATATTTGTAATCTATTAATACGCAATTACCAATATATATGTTCATGGAAAGACATCGCTTGCATCTGTCTAAAGAGCTCAGCATGTATTGCTCTTCGGAAAGAATTCATTTGATTTCGTTGTTTCCTAATGATACACACATCTTACAACCATTAGATGTGTCAGTTTTTGGACCAATGAAAAAAAAATGGCAGAACATTTGTCGGCAATTTAAATTGGATAACGATTTTAATAAAATTTGCACAAAAAATTTACCAATATTTTGAATAATTTTGTTATAGATCCAAATATAAAAAAAAAATTATTAATGGATTTAGGTCGACAGGAATACTTCCATTTAATTCCAACAATGTTGATTATAAAAAAGTAATTCAACGTATCAAATTGAATTCTACAATTGATAATAATAAAACGAGTTTTTCAAGCCATAATAATATAAGAAACATATTTGAAAATAAAGTTGCACCTGAAGTATTGTTCCAGTTTAAAAAAACTGGAAATAAAGAATGGGGAGGAAAATCTGATTTCAGAGAATTATTTAATTTTTGGAAAAAAACAGAAATTTAATGATAGCTCAAAACAAACCAGTAATTTAATAGAAGCCAACAATAATGTATCAAACAATAAAATTGATAAAGAATTGTATTTAGATATTAGCAGTACGCAAAATAAAAATGTATTTAGTAATGTTAGCGAATTCAGAAAAAGCATAATAATTGATGAATCCGGTGAAAGTAAATCAGCAACAGATCCACCACATTCAAATAAACAAATAATAAAAGATGTAAATCCATTGCACGACTTTCTTTTATGGCCAAAAAAACCAATCACAAAAAAAAGGCTAAAACAAGTTAAACGAATAGCAAGCGTTGTAACTTCATCCAAATGATTAGAGATTCAAATAACTAAAGAAAATGCAAAGGTAGAAGCAAATATCAAAAAAATTAAACGTAAAAATAAAGCTGCTGAAAAAAAAGAATTGAAAGAAAAAGAAAAACAAGAAAAATCTAAAAGAAAACAAGCTGTTACAAAAAAAAATAAAAATAAAAGACAAAAAATAAAAACATTTAATAAAAGATTTTAATAAGAAAAAAAGTTAAAATTTAGAAAAAAGCTATGACGGATAATATCAGAACCAATGTTTTCTGTGTTTTGTAATCATCTTAAATTTATGTATTTGTTTCTTGATTTAAGTAAACAAAACTAAAATTAAAATATACGATTTTTTTCATACACGGTAGGTGGCGAATCAATTGCGGTAGGTGGCGAATCAATTGCGGTAGGTGGCGAATCAATTGCGGTAGGTGGCGAATCAATTGCGGTAGGTGGTGCTTTATCAAGGTAGGTATTAGATCTTACAAAAAATTTAAAATAACATTAAAAAAATAATTTTACTCAAATTTGAATAATATAAATTAGTTAATAATTGAGTATAAAATATCAATTTGAAAACCCTAAACAAAAATCTGTTACGGTTTTGGAGTTAAGAAGCTTTGAAGTTAAAAGTTTTCTTAAAGTCGCGATAGGGGGTGCCATAACCCTACTTTTTTTTATCACAATATAAAAAAATATATATATATATACTTTTTTTAATTGACTATTACTTTTACTATTTTATTATTTAAATACTGTGGTATATTTGTTAATGTTTATTGCTGTTTACCTTTTTCTATATTTATATCTATATTTATTCTACATACTTTTTTTTAATATTTACATCTATTTTTTTATGTTTATATCTATATTTTTTTATATTTATCTAGTTTTATATTTATACCTATTCTTTTTCTATATTTATACCTATTTTCTATGCCTATACCTGATTTCCTGTATTACTTCTATAAAGCTAGACTCAAGTCATATATTTATGACAACATATTAAATTATATGTAGCTATTTTAAAAATAAAAGTTATTCAAAATATTATAAAAAAATTTAAATAAATAAAAAATTGGGACCCATGTTGGTTCCACATATGTAGCTCATATGGGCTAGTCACTGGGGCCCCAATTCACGCCCAGCGACAATTTTCCTTGGGCGGAATGTGTACAACCCATTTGGGTTGTACACATCATATTGTAAGTCATTGCAACATCGTATTGTAAGTACTCCCAGTCACCGCAAGTCATATTGTAAGTCATCCCAACAATATGACTTGTGGGTTGTACGCATTCCGCAAATCATATTGTTGGGTTGTACACAACCAGCAAGTCATATTGGGCCCCATGTGGGACTTAATATGACTTGCTGGCTTAGCATGGACTATTTCTATGAAAAAATTTCTTTCAAAATATTATTAAACTTCAAATGGGAATGTTAACGTTTCTTATTAGAAAAAATTTTCGAATTTAAAAATTTTTTCAAAACAAGATCAAAAACTAAAAAAGACATCGCTAACTCTCTTACTTTTGTCTTAATCATCTGACTTTTATTTCGTATTAAAATAAAATTACTTATGGCATTGTTTATTTTTAATATCTTATCATACTGTTTAGCGTTTGTAATATCTGCGTGAATTTTATAGTAATTTCTTTTCTTTTTTAAAACTTTTTGTTTGGTTGTTAATTTTTAAATGATTATATTAATTTACGGCGATAATGTAAACGGGGCTCGGCGGTATATTTGTCTTCTCCTATTCTAGTTTTCAACAACATCAACCATATTTGGACACCGTCCCATTAAAATATAATTTGGACGATATATCGTTGCATGAGAATTATAGGGTTCTATCTGCCTTGTTTTATGTTGAAAGAATTTAACAACCAAAGTTTTAATTAATAAATAATAATAAAAACAGACCACTTAAAAAATGATATATTATATATCATTTTTTAAGTGGTTTAATATAAAATATGTTAAATAATGAAATATAGATAACATAAACAACTTATAATTTATAATTATAATGAATAACAGCTGTAAAACATGTATTAAATAAATATTGAAAGTTAAGTTCTCACAACATAAAAAAAGGCAGATAGAACCCTATAATTCTAATGTGACGATATATATATATATATATATATATATATATATATATATATATATATATATATATATATATATATATATATATATATATATATATATATATATATATATATATATAAGTTTTTATGTTCCGGCTTTTTATTTTATATTTATTATAACATTGTAAATATGACACATTACGGCAAAGAAAATAAACAATAAAAAAAATTTAACAAAAAGAATTTTAAATGCAAATGATAGCTGTGCAAACTTTTTTTGTAATTGTTTATAAATAATAAAATACTGGACTTATGTACTGCAAAATTGTGTCAATCGCACTTTAGAACTAAACGGTAGTTGAAACGAACGTTGTCTTCTGTCTCATTGTGACTACGCTTTTTAATCTTTTATACCTTTTCGTCTTCTGTGAATTCAATATATTTTCTCAACTTTTTATAAAATATTTTAAATTCTTTTTTTTAACATTCACGTTTATATTCACGACAAAAATCTTATATAATAACCTTTATTAATGTTTTAATTCTAACCAAATGTTTTATTAAATGTCTCGATTCCAAGGTAGTTGATTATTTTTAGCTTGTTGAAAAACGTACGTTGGTTTGCGTTTTTCGTTTTATGTTTATAAATAATGTAACAACAGTAATCAAAAATTCTTACTATGTTGCCGTTCAGTTTGATGGATTAAGTTGCTTAACAACCACAATAGAAACTTTCATATTAAAACTTTTTAAAAATGTTTTATTTTAAAGAAAAATCATCAAAGTTAAGCAATTTTTTTATATTTTATAATGTTCATAACAACAAAATTTTTGCTGAAATTGACAATAATTTTAGGCAAGAACTATCTTTATGTATCTTTATATGTATGTATGTATGTATGTATGTATGTATGTATGTATGTATGTATGTATGTATGTATGTATGTATGTATGTATGTATGTATGTATGTATGTATGTATGTATGTATGTATGTATGTATGTACGCATGTATGGAGGTAAGTATGAAATAGGTATTCTTCCTGAAAATCGGTAGTATTAGCTTTACTTATCTTTACTATCTCTCTTATAAATGTTCTTAAAATAATTACAGAAAAATAATATGTTAGTTTACGCATTAAAATGTTATTTGAATGCTAAGCATACTCATATTTATTAACAGGTACATTGTCTTCAGTGTTATTGTCATCAGTTTCACCATTGTTAACATTGTCAGTGTTACCGCTAGAAGAAATAAACCAAACAGCAAGTTATTCCCTTCCATTTCGTGAAAAAGATAATGATAACGTGTCTACTCGGGATGCATCAATCATTGCTGCTATGTTTATACCTATTATGATCATTATTTTTGTTTTGTGTTTTAAGATTCCTAACATTTTGGAGAAATCCAATAATAAAAAATTATTGATAAAAGATTCAAATATATAAGATATTATAGGCAGTAGAAATTTACAAATGTATACACTAAAACAAACATTTTATTTTTGAGCAATATAATGGAGACAAATATTTTATATAGAAGAGATAAATATGTTGCTTTTTTTATCTTTTAAATTGTTTGTAATAAAAAAAATAAATAAAAAAAGAGTTAATAAAATTAAATTCTTTTTTTAAAACAGTTTAACAAATATCAAATAAACATCCAATAGACATGTCTCTATGTGATAAAGAGGTGAATCACAGGTTTATTTATTAATGACAACTTCATTTATTAATTTAATTTTATGCATGATGGATTTTTTTTAATGACGTAAATTTTCAATTTCATTTTTGTCATCGACATGTATCTCAACGACATTTTATTAACAACATTTTAACTGCTTAATTAATTATTATTAATTTATACTTTTTAATTTAATTTAACATAACCACTGTTTTAAAGCAAGAGTTCCTTTTTTAATCTTTTTTTTGTTTGTTTGTGAGAAAAGCTTTTGAAAATTTATCATATTTGATATATTTATCTATTTAATTTCACGTTGAGCTTTTGAAAGTTGCTTTTGCTAAGATTTTTTCATCAATATACAAATTTTCAGAAAAGTTTTTTTGAAAAAATAAAACGAAAAATTCTTGAAATATAATAAAATATTTGATAAATCTCTATCATTTTTTGAAAAAATCCTACCACAGGCAGCTACTTTTAAGAAAAACCCGAAAACGTCAATAAAATTTACAATTACAGATTATATTGTATTTTGTTGGGACATTTTGCATAGTCGTTTGTTGAGATGTACAAAAAAAGATGTACCGAAGCCAAGATTGAGCCAAAGTCGTAGTTTTATATTTACACAACTAAAACTTGCATATCTAACTATATTGCTAATTGATAAAAATTGATATACCTATCTATATAGTATATTATAATATTGAAATAATACTTATTTTAATGCATGATTTCATCTCTACCATCCGAATCATCTAGGTAATATTAAAACCCCATAGCAGTTTTTAAGACTTTTAAACAGTAGTTTCTCCTTGTGGTAATTAAAAAAAGTAAAGAAAGCTATATTCACACAACAATGGGGAAAGCAGACATATTTTATGCGGGTAATCAGATTCTACTAGTTACACACTAAAAAATAATAGTATTGTTGCGACTATTAAATGATTCAACTGTCAATTTTTTTTTTCTCAAGTCGACTAAAATTGACTAATACATTTTTGAAGTCCGTAAAAAGAATGTTATTGAAAACTTTTAAAAAACCATATTGATTAAAATGTTGCGATTTAATTTTAATTTTGTGAAGTTAATTGTTGTACATTACTTTTTCTAGTATTTTTAACTTTAGATCTAAGATCTAATCAATTTACTATTTTCAATTTTATTGCGAATTGCTTTCCATTGCTGTTTTAACATATTTGCTAATACTATTTGCAACAGTTTGATTTTTTAACACTGTTGCTAATATATATATATATATATATATATATATATATATATATATATATATATATATATATATGTATATATATATATATATATATATATATATATATATATACTTTTTTTACATTAAAAGACTCTTTCGACTACACTATAAGGAGATATATATATATATATATATATATATATATATATATATATATATATATATATATATATATATATATATATATATATATATCTACTATAGCATATTTTTATGCGCAATTGCTCACTTTTTTATTTCATTCATTATTCTTCGTTTTCCCTCATCGTTTTCTAAAAACGCTCACTTAATTTAGGCTAGCAAAAAAAGTGAGCAATTGCGCATATAAATATGCTATAGTAGATAAATATATTATAAATATATAGTACAAAAAATGTATATATATATCTGAAAAAGTTTTTAAATCATGTCTGATACGATTGAGGAAGTCAAAAAGTTGATCAAGGAAATGTTCAAGAAGTTCAAAACTGAGACCGAAGAAATGCTAAAACACCAGGAAATCACTTTTGTTAACATCGTTAGTTCAAACACCAAAATAATAAACGATCGTTTGGATAAAGTTGAACGTACATTTTAGAAAACTCAAAAAAAATAGCATTTATTATGAAGGAAGTTGATGAAATTAAAATCAGCTTAAATTTATATGAAGACTTATTTAACAAAAAAATTAAAACCGCGATTGATACAATTACAAAAGTTAACTTATCGAATATCAAATCAAATAACAACAGCGACGAGCTTTCAAAAATAAACAACAAACTTAGAGAGATTGAAGATCGATCGAGGCGGAACAACCATAGGATTTATGGTGTCCCCGAAAACGACAACGAAAGCTGGAATGACTGTGAACTAAAAGTTAAAAAAATATTTAACGATTACCTTGGGGTTCATAATGTTAAAATTGAAAGAGCGCATAGGACAGGGAAAATTGAAAACAAAAAACACAGAACAATCGTCCTGAAACTTTTAGATTTTAAAGACAAAACTGAAATACTCAAGAATTCTTTTAAACTAAAAGGTAAAAACATCTACATATCCGAAGACTACTGTATGGAAACAAACCAGTAGCAAAGTACCATTATCTGAAGCAAGCTTTACTGCAATCTTGATTAAATAATTATAAAATCTAATACGATGAAGAATAATCTTTGCTTTCTTTTATTCTTTACTAAATGTTTATCAGTAATCTTGCTGTATATAGTCTCTTGCAAAAGTTTTGCAAGAAACTATGTATTTCACACAGTGACTCGTCACCTTAACGCCAAGCACAAGGACAAGATTACTGATAAACATTTAGTAAAGAATAAAAGAAAGCAAAGATTATTCTTCATCGTATTAGATTTTATATTTATTTAATCAAGATTGCAGTAAAGCTTGCTTCAGATAAATGTTTTGCCAAAACAAACACATAAATATTCTTTCTTCACTTTGGTTAGGATAAATTAAAATAGGTAGTCTAATGTTTGAACTAAAATTGAGATCTGCCTCCAACAAATAGCAACTCAATAGCAGCCAAAACAGCATCGAATTCATTCAAATTTTCAAAGTCTGCGCTACAAAAAGTCATTTTAAAAACATTTGATGCACTCTCAGTCCGGTCACCCCTTAAAGCTCAAGTTATTTTGCAAAATCTATAGAAAACGGCCCGCGTTTCCAGACTAGTTAAATACTATGATTATGGTTTTATCTATTGAAATTATAAACAAAACATCTAAAGATATATTATTAAGCACCTGCTATCGACCACCTGACGGCGTGAGCGTGAACTTGAGCATTTTTTTTTGAACAAAATATCTTTAAAAAAAGCTTAGAAGAAAACAAAAAATGTTTTATTTTTGGAGATCTTAATATGGATTGCTTTACTTATAATAAGGACAATAAAGTTAAAAACTTTTACGACTCAATTTTTGAAGCTGGAGCAGTTCCTTTGATTAATCGCCCTACTAGGGTAACTAAAAGCTCAACGTCTCTAATTGACAATATCATAACAACTGATATCTTTAACAATGACATTCAAAAAGGCATTTTAAAATCTGACATTTCTGATCATTTCCGAGTCTTTCTGACTCTTAACTCAAACGCTTCGATTAATAATAATTCTAAAACAATATTTATTCGAGATTTTAATCTAACCAATATGAATCTCTTTAAAAATCAGTTATCTCTTTTGCACTGGGATCATATTAATTTCAAGGGAAATGTTGACACCATTTATGAGACCTTCTTTAAAACATTTTACGCCGTATATGATGCAAACTTTCCAATTATTGAAAAAATAATTAAAATAAAAAATTTTAATAACCCTTGGGTTACCAAGGGTTTCAAAAAGTCATCTAAAACAAAACAGAAGTTGTATATAAAATATCTTAAAACGAAATCGTCTAAAAATGAAAAAATATACAAAGATTATAAATATTTGTTCGAAAAAATTCGTAAACGCCTAAAATAAAATTATTCCTCTAGAATATTAGACAAATTAGCAAGTAATAAAAGAAATTACTGGCAATCAAATAACATTCTCAAGTTCCCTCCCCCAAATGATTATAGTTGATAACAAAAGTATTTATGAATCAAAAGCTATATCTAACGAATTTAATAAATACTTTATCGAAATCGACCCTAAATTAGCTAATAATGTTCCCTTTACCCCAGTCGCATTTAATGATTTCTTAGTACCAAACTGCAACTGTTCCAAAGAAATATACTCAGAATTATCTTTTGATGAATTCCAAATCGCCTTCAAATTACTAAAAAAAAAAAAACTTATGGGAGCTGATGGAATAAATGGTGACATAATTATTGAGTGTTTTGATCATCTCAAAAATATTCTTTATAAAGTTTATAAATCATCTGTCCACCAAGGAGTTTTTCCTGATCGTCTAAAAATTGCAAAAGTTATTCCAATTTTGAAAGAAGGAGACTGTAGCAATATCAGTAACTATCGCCCTATATCTATCCTTTCTACCTTTTCAAACATCTTAGAGCGTATTATATACAATAGAGTATACAATTATCTTGTTTCCAATAATCTTTTTTATTATAATCAATTTGGTTTCAAAAAAAAAAATTCTACCGAACATGCAATCATCCAATTTGTACGAGAAATCTCAAATTCCTTTCAAAGATCCCAATATACATTAGGTGTTTTTATTGACTTGTCGAAGGCTTTTGATACTGTCGACCGTGAAATCCTTCTTAAAAAACTAAAATACTACGGATTAAACTATATAACTATAAAATGGCTTCGTAGTTACTTATCAAACCGCAAACAATTTGTTTTTATTAATAACTATAAACAAAGCCATCTACTAAATATTTCCTGTGGTGTTCCCCAAGGCTCTATCTTGGGGCCACTTTTGTTCTTAATCTATATAAACGACTTAAATAAAGCCTCAAACTTAATGAGTATCATGTTTGCCGACGACACTAACTTATTCCTGACCAATAATGACATATCCATACTCTTTTCTACAATGAATGATGAACTCAAAAGCATATCTACTTGGTTCAAATGTAACAAGTTAACTCTTAAAATAATAAAACCAAATGGGTTCTTTTCCATTCACTCTCTAAAAAACGCTATTTACCCCAACATTTGCCCAAAATATTTATTGATAAAGTTGAAATAAAAAGAGATTTTGTTACTAAATTTTTAGGAGTGGTTCTCGACGAGAACATTACATGGAAACCACATATAGAGTATATCTTCTCAAAAATATCTAAAAGTAACGGAATCTTACATAAATCTAGATCATATTTAAACAAAAAAGCCTTAACCCAACTCTATTATTCATTTATTCACACCTATATTAATTATGCCAACATTGCGTGGGGAAGCACCGAAAAAAGTAAGCTAAAATGCCTTTTTCGCCGTCAGAAGCATGCGATCCGATTGATTAAATTTGCGGATCGTTTTACTCATTCCAAACCATTATTTATGGAGATGAAAGTACTTAATATTTACGAGCTCAATGTTTATAATATTTTATGCTTTATTTACATGTGGAAAAACGATTTAACTTTACCTGTCTTTAAAAACCTTTTTTCTCTAAACCCAATTAATAAGTATTTACTTAGAAATAAAAATTTTGTACATGAACCTATTTGCAGAAAAAATTTAACAAATTTTGCATTACATTTCGAGCACCCTATCTTTAGAATAAAATTGTTATATCTAATTTTGATATATCCAATACATTTCCGATCTTTAAAAGTAAACTTAAAAATTTTGTTTTATCTATTGATGATATATTTAAATACTTTTTATAACAATCACGTATTTGTCTTTTTAATTGTAAGACTGTTTTATTTTCTCTTGCCTTTTAAAAAAAGAGATGTATTACTGTATTTACTATGTATATATATGTATTTATATTTTACGTTTTTATAAGATCTGATGATATGATCAGATCATTAGTGGTTTGATTTATATTTCCAATTTATATCACGATTTATTGTAATTTTTTAGTTTTGTTAATGTATTGATTTAAAAAATTTAATTTAAAATTGATTTAAAATAAAATTGATATAAAAAATTGTAAAAGGTTCTGATGATAAGATCATTATGATCTTCTTTCAGAAGCCTTGTCTGTTTATCTTTGTAAACAACGACAAAAATGAAACAAAACAAAACAAAACAAAAAATATGTATATACAATAATTTTAATCGTTATAGTTTATATAAATTTAAAAATCAAAAGAAGCCATTTAACCGCCGACGTCAATAGTAACAATTTTATATAAACTATAACGAATGAAATTATTATCAAATTAAAACTTCTATTATGGATGTAACTCTTTATTTGAAATTAATTTTCATACAATATTTCAAGGGATTATTGATACCCTCGTTGTCAAGTATATAAATATATATAAAAAACCGTTAAATACAAAACAAAAACAAAAACAAATCAATGCAATAGTTTCTTTTCATTTAAATATCGAAACATAGGTTTCCAAAAGGAAGTTGTGACGTAACCTCCGTCGTCCTGATTTAGACCGCCGTCTGAAGGTGAGCATTTATGGCATGAATTAAATTGGGATTATTCAGCCATTGGGGAGCATTCAAAAAATTGCCATGACAATTTTTTGAATGCTCCGCTATGGCTGAATAATCCCAATGTATTTTTTGATGTTGGTAAATGCGAGATGAGATTTTTAATTTTGTTTCACCGATATAACGTTTTTTGCAGTAGCATTCGAGTTTGTACACACCTGGGTAAGAATTTATAGGAAGAGGAGGTTTATTTTTTGTGGTAAGTATATGTTGTAAATTTTTTGGAGATTTTAAAACTGCTTTTTTGAAAGCATTTTTTAACTTCGGGCTAATTCCTGGAATACACGGTTAAGATACAATATTTTTTGACGCAATTGATGAATGTTGAGTTTCAATATTTTGTTTTTTATTATGTAAAATTTCGGTTATAAAATTAGCGGTTTTTATAATATGTTCCAGGTTTGTTTTTTTATAACCATTTTCTACAAAAACATCAACTAGAAATAATAAATCTTGTTCAATATTATTATCAGAGCATAAATATAATGCCCTATGAACAAAACCTTTGAAAATTCCGTTTATAATTTTTGGATCATGGCATGAGTTAGGTTTGATTTGGACATTAGTTAAGACATCTTTGCGGTAAACTTTAAAGTCGTACGTACCAGTTTTATTGTTAATAATAGTAACATCAAGAAAGTTTAGCGTATTATTTTCATTTTTGATTTCCATGGTGTACTGAATATTTTTATGTTGGTTATTAAGTATTATTAAAATTTTTTTCGCATCTTCAGTAGAGCTAAAACGAGAATGACGAGAATGACTTTAATTGAATATTATTGGAAATTGCTTGTGCAATAACATTACTTTCGTGAAACTGTAGAAAACACTCCGCAACTACTACCATAAGTCCTAAACCAATAGGTCCAGAATCTTCTAGTTCGTAAATGTCATGTTCAAATAAAAAATAACAATGCAAAAGGCATATATCTAAAAGTGTTTTTATTTCATCAAAGGTAAATTTTGATGTAAAACTAGGATCATTTTTCAACCTCTCAATAAGGATAATTATCGCTTCCTTTACTGGGACTGAAGGATATAAATTAATGATATCATAAGACACTTGGATTTCATCTTTGTCAATATTCCATGAGTTAGCTAAGTTAACAAATTGTTGAGAGTTTTTTAAATGTGTATTGTTCTTATTGAGGATGGGTTGTATCGTTTCAGTTAAGAATTTAGAAATTTTGTATGTAGCCGTTCCAATAGTGTCTACGATAACTCGCATCGGGTAGTTTTTTTCAGGTTTGTGGGCTTTTATGGCTCCATACAAACGAGGTGGTATAGCATCACTCGGGTAAAGATCTTTATATTCTTTAACCGTAAATCGACCTGCTTTATTTAGTTTTCTGAGTGTGTTTTGAACTTTACGAATGATTAAAATGTTCCCCCTAAATGTTACGAATGATTAAAATGTTCCCCCTAAATGTTCTTGTATTTTGGATAAAGCACTATCAGAATTAATTCGCACTAGTCCAGATCCTTTATCGAACGGATATATCATAATATTATCATCTTTCTTAATCTTATAAAGGGCTTTACGTTGTTCTTTATCTAGATTACTTTTGATAGGCTTACATAGGCTGAAGGAGTTAAACTAAGACATCCTGTCTTAGTATAACTCCTTCAGTTTTTTTCTTGTTATACTGTAATTTTAAAGCAGATGATTCAGTAATTGTTATAATATCTAAATAAGGTATGTGTTTTGGATTGGGAACAAACTTTGAACCGAGATCAAGTAGTTTAAACCAGCCAAATTCAAGTTTACATAAGGGTTGTCCATAAACTATGTCACGATGGGGGATTAGTTTTTTTCATCAATAAAACCCCTAAAATAATTTGTAGCCGTTACTCTTTTAATTTGCATTTTATCTCTAAAAAGAGCAGGCATTTCACTTTCATTCATACTACAAAAGATGCTTTTTGTAGTATGGATAAAAAAAGAGACCATTTTGTTTGTTCAATATTAAAAGATAGTTTAATTTAAACCATTTAGAAATGTTATTTAATTATATACTCATACTTTGAAATAGTGTCGTTATGTTACAATCTGATAAAAAAAATACTCATACTTTGAAATAGTGTCGTTATGTTACAATGTGATAAAAAAAAAATTCGTGTCGTTTTATGTAAATGAGAAATAATAGAGGTCCTCGACCCTTGAGGAACTCCGCATGTTATATTAACAATTTTATTTTGACGATACGTCCTAGTGAACAAATTGCTTTTTATTACTTAAAAAGTTTTTAATATCTTCAAAACATTGCTAGAGATTCCATAATCGTTTAATTCTTTTTAATAGAAATTTATGATCAATCGTATCAACGACTTTAGGCAAATCAATAAAAATGCCAAAAGTAAATTTGAATTTTTCAAATTATTCCGTATTATATTGTGGAGTATAGCTTGTTGAGTAGAATTATTTTTTGAAATCCATATTGATTTTTGTATAGGATATAAATTTGAGAAAAATGATAAAAAAAATTTTGTTATAAAGAATTCTCTGTACAGTTTTTGAGAAGACAGATATTAATTGGTGATGGCAATTACTAACATTAAGTAAATAATCCACCTTAAAGTATTGGTGAAACTTTAGCTATTTTTAATTCATCTGGAAAAGTTCCTATTTGAATATTTTAAAAAAGATATTTTTTATGATTTTATATGAATCAATAACAATGTTTCGATTGATATCATCAGGACCGACTTATTTAACTTTGGCATTTTAAAAGCTCTATCAAGTTCATGAAAATAAAATTCAACAGAATTTAGATAAGATACTAAAGAAAAAATCTGTTTATTGTTTTGCTTATGATTAAAATTTTTTTGTGCTAAGTTTGGTGCAACTAAAGTAAGAAATCTCATTAATTTTATTAGCTACAACTCTTGGATCATAAAATATCTGACCATCTATTTTAATAACTTTAGGGAAAAAGATTTCAATTTCTTACTGTCTGTAATTTCCCCAAAAACATGCCATGTTTGCTTTGAACTCTCTTTATACTTTTCTAGTAAATTTATGTAGTATCTTTTTTTTAAGTTTTTTCTTTAGATTTCAAATTTTTTAGCGTAATTCTTATATAAATAAAATACTTTAAATACTTTAGATACAACTTTTGATTATTAATTTTGCAACATTGCTCTTAATGCTATTTGCAACATTGCTGCTAATGCTCTTTGCAATATTGTTGCTAATGCTATTTGCAATAGTGCTAAAACAACTATAACAATTTGCTCCAATTATTTTAAAGTTTTATTTACAGAACTTTTTCTTAGGTCTTTATTTTCTACAGTCACTAGCTGTAAAACTTATATATATATATACTCATAGATAAGTTACCTTAATGCCAAAACCGAATTAAGTTAATGTTTATATGAACATTTCAGTCACATGATAAAAACACGATTTGGACGACCGATAGAATTATCATTTTAAGAAACTGAAAGAAATATTTAGCAAAGTGATACAAGTGTCATTTTTACAACTAATAAACATTGTTTTAAACAACTATTACAAATATTATTCTAAGCAACCAATGAACATTATTCTTAGCAACCAATAAATATTATTCTAAGCAACTGATATTTAATTAAATGATAATTAGGATTAAATTAATCAATCTAATGAATAAATAAAAATACATTGAAAGTAAACTGAATAACTATATATTTTTCGTTTTATCTTTTTTTTATTGAAATATATACAATTACAAATCAGTAATTTGTAAAATACTAATGTTCTTGTCGTCGAATCAAATCACGTCGTCGAATAGCAGAGTGGTGCGTTTTCCTTTTTGAAACAGTTTAAAATAACTAAGATTATCAACATAAAAAGCAGAAAACCTGATGAATTTTTTAAAAATTGAAAAACGTTAAAACGTAAAAACTCTTTCTTTCATATTTTTTTTTAAATCGTTTTTTTTTTTCTAAATAGCTTTTAATTAAATAAAGCAGTGTAATTCATCAAATATGTCATACATGACAGGGATAAAATATTTCTCATAATTGACATATATTTACTTAACTTGTCCTTGGTATCATCTCGTTATTTCTTTGAGGATAATCAATCTGTTCCCATTCTGTAAGATTAACATTGCTATTGGAAAAACCTGCATCCGGAGTAAGCCATTCTTTAGGAATACATGAAACGAGCATGGGGAATCGGTGACCAATAGATGCTAATCTATTGATCCATCCTGGAATTTCTTTACCACACAAATACTGTAAAAACAAATATAAATATAAACAATTTCTTCTTTTTGAATAAATGCATACAAATATTCAAAAAATAAAATTTACTCTAATATAGATAGACATGATTGACAAATGTTTTAAAATATTTCAAATTACCATACTTGTATGATTAAATAACAATGTAGCAAATCTAATGAACAATGGCACAATAGATTTGCTGTTTGGATATTAGGATATTTTACCATCCCTAATATCATGTTGGGTCCAAATAAAGCAAAAATATTATTTTAGAATTTACTGCATAGAAAATGACATCCTTTAAAATATAAAAATTATTTTTTAAAGGATGTTATATATTCTAGGGTCTTTAGCAACCCCTGAAAATATTTTGTATTAAAAAAATTTTTAAATCAAGTGTTATTTTACATATGGAACACATTAAGGAGGTCAAATACATTCCAAAAACTTTGTTTTTCTAAGGACCCTAATACCAGTTTTAATCTTATATGCTTTCAAATGTATATTTGATTGATGTTTTCAATGTATAGATTGATGTTCAATATGTAATCATATATTTTCAAGAGATCGAAGTTTATGAGGTCTAAATTTATTAAGCTTAATAAAAAGTTTTAGAAGTTAACATTACAGAGTTAAAAAAAAAAGTAACTTGGTTAAAAAAAATGATATAAATGATTTATAGGTAAAGAATAAAGGGGAAATATAAATAGAACAACTTGTAAAAAAATTATCATTTTTTCCTTTACAAAATTTATAGAAATTTTTTGCATATATAGTTATGAAAATTTATTAAAGTAAATTAACATTTAGTGTAGTATCTTTTTAAATCAGTAACTTGGCAACAACAGCCCATTGACAAGATCGCCATTCATGTGTAATAGCGTCCCATGCAGCCTTTACTTTGATCCAAAGTAAGTCTAAACTTGTTGCAATGAACTGATTTATATTGTACAATATATATACAAATAGTATTGCGTACTAAGGTAAGCAATCTGACGTCATACTGAAATAGCCTGCTGCTGGGGGTTTCAGTACATACATCGACTGACAAATAGCCTGACTCGCAGTGGAGTGTTGCTACATTGACTGAGTGTTTGGGATGGGGAAGCAATCGTTTTATTTATCATTTTTTGTTTTTTCTTCTTTTTCGAAAAAAACGGTATAGCTTAAGGTAAGCAGAAAAAGTGAGCAAATGCTTATCAAAACACGCTTTAGTAAATGTATATTTATATATATATATATATATATATATATATATATATATATATATATATATATATATATATATTTATATATATAACAATTTGCGTGAGCATTTTGTTTTTAAAAACAAAAGACAAAACGAAAATAATTTTTTTAGAGTTTAGTTTATTTGTGTCTTGAAATATCTTTCATTTTAAAACACAGAATTGGTTAAATACAGAAATTTTGCTAAAACTGATTAAATTGCTTGTTAGAGCAATTATTTACCTTTTTTTTTATATAAACAAGCTTTACAATAAAACGAATCAAACTATATAAAAAAACTATTTTATTTAGATAAATTTTATCAATATTTTAACTTAAAAAAACATTTTTTTTGCCTGTAATTACATAGGTTTTATTATGGACGTATACAAAATAAACTTTCTTCGTTTTGAATAGTCATAATTATTTTTTTCTCTCAAACAAAAGTTTTTTACTAAACTTTTTTTTTTACTAACGATTACCAAAATTAATTTATATTGAAAAAAATAACACTTATTTATAAGTTTTACATGCAAAATCAAGTTTTTCTGTTTCCATAATTTTGATTTTTGGGTACTTTTTGGTTTAATTTAATTTATTTTAAGTAATATTAATAATAACTTATTATTAGAATTTAAACTATTATTCAGAATTAAATTTTGTACTTGAAAATATTGTTTATATTTTTTTAATTTGAACTTTGCAAATCTTCAATTAAAATTTAATCAAACTTAGTGAAGTTAATTTGGTCTGCTAACCATTTCTATGGTATAGTTGTTTGGTTATCTATACTAAAATACAATTATAAATTTAAATTAATTAAAATTGATATATAGCAAAATGATACTCTATTCTAATATTTATCAAAATCAGAATTACTTCCAAAAAATAAATAATATCCAAAAAATTAATTCCAAAAAATAAACATTTAATAACTATAGAATGTTTTAGTTTTATCGAAAACTAAACATTTAATATAAAATGTTCAGTTTTTGGTAAGGTAGAGTAATGTTTAATAGTTAAATATAAATAACTTAAATGCTATGTTAAATATACAGGTTAAATATATAGGTTAAACTGCATTCTGCTTGCCATGTCATAGATTTGCACATATGGGGTGTATGAAAGCACATCATTTTAAAATGGTAACAAGTCACTGTTAAAGGGTGTTGTAATTGGAAAATGCAATTTAAAACTCCATGAAATGTTATTAAAGTAAAATGTTTTCATGAAAACTCTGTGGAATGTTACTGGATGGAAATAGTTTGGGAAAAAAAAAATAAGTATCAACAATGGTTAATTGCAAAAAGTATTAAAAGAAAAATTAGTCTCTCATTCCTTCAGTCAAAATTGCTTACAGCATTCAACATAAGGATTACAGCTTATAATCCATGTTGAGATCACAGATTGCATCTGGTTGTTCAGTATGCAGAAAACAGTATTTTCACTGAATTTTTTTTTTAATTTTCTAGTTTTAAATCATAAGGTGTTAGGAATTAAAACTATTAGGCAGTTTTAATTCCTAACACATTTCGATTTTTGGCATTTTAGCAAAATCAAGCAGCAGCTGATTATAAAATTCCCACAGCTTAAACAAGAATGGCTAAGATTTTAGAATGAATGTTTTAAATTTTTAAGAAACACCTAGAAAATAAGGGTAAGTAAAAAAAAAAGGAGGGGGGGGGGGGGTAAACACCTACTTAAAAAAATTTTACCTCTTTTTTTCCTGTGTTTTGCTTTTGGCAGTGACGGATCCAGGAATTTTTTTGGGGGGGAAGGAGAGGGGAATGTTGAAATGTTTTTTGTAGCACATTTGCTTCTCCTAAAAAAAAGGCCCCCAATTTCTAAGATATTTTAGGACTTTCAGATTCTGGAGGGGAGGGAGATGCATAAACCACTGGGTCCGCCACTGATTTTTGGATACCCCAAATTTGGTTGTAGTTAATAACTTAAATTTTTTTTTTTAATCTACTGCTTTTCTTGTTAGGAAACCTAATTATAGAAAATCTATAGAATAGATAAAAATATACACAACAATACCTTTGTTAACTCATTGGTGAAGTGGTTGCAATTCCTGTTTAACAAATAACAAATTATAAAATTATCATTTTTTGTTCTATTTTTTACAAAAAAACAAACAAAAAAAGAAAATGAAAAAAAAAAATCATAACATGTAATTTTTCATTTTCAAAATGCCGCAACACCTGTATTTCATTATTTGTCTGCTTTTTCACTTAAAAAATAATTAAAAAAATAACAAAATTATCAATTACTTTTTGACAAGATGATAAGAATTTCCTAAATATGACTTGCCAAACATTGTTATTATATCATTAACATCTCTCTCTGTAAAATCTGTTGTGCCAATAAATATAGATTCTCTATAAATAAACAAACAAGTCAGCAATCAATTTTAATTTAATAAAAATTAAGGTACAAAAAAAAATTAAAAAAACGCTAAGTTTTTTATGCATTTTGTTTCAGTTTATACATGTTTTTTCAGTTCATAAGTGTTGCTTTAGTTTACTCATGTTGTTTTTGTATGCATTTTGTTTCAGTATATATATGGTGTTTCAGTTTATATGGGTTGTTTCAGTTTATACATGTTGTTTTAGTTCATACATGTTATGTCAGTTTATACATAATGTTTCAGTTTATACGTGTTGTTTCAGTTTATACATGTTGTGTCAGTTTATACATATTGTTTAAGTTTATACATGTTGTTTTAGTTTATACATGTTTTTTCAGTTTATACTAATATATCTAAATGTATAAAAGTGTGCAAAAGTGCATGACTAGTAATTATTTTTTAGTAACCAAATGAAATTTACTTGAATGTAAATCCTTCCCCCAATTCAAACTCATCTTTAGGCTCCATGTCTATTATACCTGTAAACTCAAATGGATGTCCTGCATATGCATATTCTAAAAAGAGAAAAAATTATTGATAAAATTGCAATAAAACATTAGGACTAAAAAATTTTTCCAACCTTTTCCAAACACTTCTACTCCAGAATGATAGACTCCAAGACCAAGTGATGATGTATACTCATTTAGCCAATACTAAAATAAATATTTTAAAAAAAATGTTAATTTAATTAACATTAAAATAAGCAAGGATAAATAACTTGACAATCATATATATATCCAACAAAATTAAATTTTAAACTAAAAAGCTTTATGTAGAACTGAGAGAGAAAAATTCCCTGTTATAATTAACCATAAACTATTCTGTGCATAATTTTTAACACAAAGGTTTAACCATAACAATATAGAAATGCAACAAATTGCAACATGTAAACAAAATGTTTACAGAAAAATAATGTATACCTATTATTTAATACTTATTATTATTTAATATTTATTAAAATTCATATTTTTCATTTATTTATATTTCCTTAAAAAATACAGCTGAAAAAATAAACAAAGAAAAACATGCCCTGATTATTATTGTTAAATATTTTTAGTTTAACAAAAAAATGTTTTTTTACATATAACAAATGCAACAATAAACATGTTAAAATGTGTGCAAAGTTAAAAATATTATGATTCACAAACATTAAAAATAGTTTCTTAGTTATTTTAGAACTTAACTAAAATAACTCTAGTATGATAATGGCAAATTATTTTGGTTGGAATGTAGTGGTACTATCACAACATCTTGATCTGTAAAATAAAACCTAAAAAAATATCTGGTCATGAAAAGTTGCTTTAACTCTTTCATAATGATTTAAATAAATCACATAATGAAACTACACAAAGATAGTTGTAATAATGAAAATTATCATTAAACCCTAAACAACAATAATGACGGTCTACACCATAGAATAGTTAGAATTTTTCATAGGGTAAAAAAGTTAAAATAAAAAAAAATACTAAATTAATTAAAGCTACTTTTTAATTATAAATAAATGCTATGTAATGAGAGAAAACGTCTCAACTTTAATTAAATAAGTTTTAAAAAATGTTATTAATTTAAATATATAAATATAAAAAAAAATGTAAAAACTTACCATATTATAAACATTTACAATAACTGGTGTTTGTGGCATTTTTAAATGAATGAAAACATATTCTAAAATGATACAATAATAAACTTACTACAACTTTTATGTACTTTGACTTAAATTTACTGATGTATGTGTCAATTTTTTAAATTGATTTCATCTTCCTGAATTGTATCCATTAAAATTAATTAGAAACATTTCAGGAAAATTAGGTCGAATAAAGTCATATCAAATCTGTTAATAATATACTTGATAATATACATTTTTTTTATATATTATATTTTTATATATTTAGTATATTTTTGGTATATTTGTTTGTTTGGTATATTTTTAGTAAATTTTATAATAATATGATACTTATAATAAATTATGAAATCTGTTATTTTAAAATCAAAAAAAATAAAAATCAACTTTTCTCTAATTTTATAAAGACTAATTATTTACATTTCAAAAAAAAACTTTTTTTTTAAAATTAAAGACCAAAGTTAAACCAAACCAAATAAAAGACTTGAACGTTTAATACACAAAAATCAATCATATTAAATATTTCAGGACTTAAGTTATTTAGTAATAAGATTAAAAATTAGTAAATACCTTTAACATTAAATGGATAGATTATTTGATAAACCACGACTTTGTTTGAAATAATATTGATTTAAAAATGTATGAAAACCAATAACATAACAAATACCTTTAAATTCCAAAATCTGCCATTTTTTGAGTTTGTTTACAAATTCTGAGTTGAGAATTTTTCCTTCCGAAAAATCCATTCGTCAGCTCGATTCAGTTTAACGCTTCAAAATCATTGGTCAGAAACTTGAAAAACAAAATAAGAAAAAAAAACACAATAAAATGCCAACGTTCAATTACAACCAGGAGAATAATTCATGACTAAACAACATCAAGTCTCAAGAGCATCAGGCAATTTCACACTGCCCAAAAGAACAACAAAGTTGTCATGGTTTTCTATTTCCAACCGGGGTCCGTACCTATATAACAAAATCATATGCAAAAATATAGAACTTAAAGTATTAAATAATGCTGCCAACTTGAAAAATAAATTAAAACACCTCATACTTAATACCAACAATTATATCGACATGTACTAAACTTAACATCAAAATTTATACTAAAATATTTATGTGTATCACTGACTGTATATTGTTTAACCACTTTTGACTATATATAAAAATAAAATAGACTTTATTTAACCTTTTAAAGAGGTACTCGATGATAAGTCTTCATAAACTTCTACGAGTTTTCCTTTACAACAACATGTATATATCTGAAGTACCAAAAAATTTCTTGTCTTTTTTTTTTCTTTTCTTATTTTTATTCTTTTATTTTTTTTAAATACTGGTAGTTTTTATGATAAGAAACACTATTAATTTACGCTATACTTAGATATACTTGTTAAACCAAATTTTATTATGCTATGTTATACGTGGTATTAAAACCCAGCTAAAACGCTCCCACCATTTTATAACCAACTAATAATGGTTTAAGGCAAACAAATTGTCCTTAAATTTACATAAAATTAAGTATACTTTTTTTCATAGACTTTACTATAAAGAAAATATTCCATTAAAGCTTCCTGATCTTTACATTGGCAACTCTAAAATAATTAGAGAGTCGTCATTAAAGTTTTTAGGAGTGATACTTGACGAAAACCTGACATGGAGAGAACACATAAGAACGATTGAAAATAAAATTTTAAAAAATATTGGCATACTATACAAAGCTAAGCAAATCTTAAACCAAAACTGCTTAAAAATCTTATATTTCTCCCTCGTACATTGTTATATAAACTATGCAAATCTTGCATGGTGTAGCTCTAATGTAAGTAGAGTTAAAAAATTGCTTAGTAGATAAAAACACGCTGTTAGGATTATTTCAAATGCAGGTCGATTCGCACATTCTAAAGAACTATTTAAAAATCATCACATACTCAATGTTCTTTAGTTAAACCTTTATCAAATTCTTATATTTATGTACAAACTACATAATAAATTAACTCCTATAATTTTTAATACACTTTTCAATAAAATTAACCACGTGTACCCTACAAGATTTTCAAATTATAATTACGAACAACCTAAAATACGCTACTTGGTTACTAAATTTTACGTGTCACATGATAGAGCCGAAAATATTTATCCTCGAAAATATCACCGAAATATTTCACAACCAAACATTTTAGAACCGAAAAGTATACTTTTATTGCAGGATCGAATTACAAAATCCTTTCTTGCGCCAAAAGTTTTTAAACCGAATTTTACAACCGAAAAAATTTGGATCGAAATACAAAATCCTTTCTTTTTTAATTTTTTTTTTTTTTTTTCAGTTTACAAATTTATTTGCTTTACAATAAAATAAATAAAAATTTCTATATATATATATATATATATATATATATATATATATATATATATATATATATATATATATATATATATATATATATATATATATATATATATATATATATATATATAATGTTTGATAACAGTGTAAACTAGGTTTCCAAAAGAAGATCATTAAGATCTTATCATCGGAACGTAAGAAACATTAACAAATAAATTAATTTACAAATACCTTGTAAAGTATACCTTACAATAAAGTAGAGTGTATATATTGAATTTTTTACATAAGCAAAACTTTAAACAACATAAGCAACATATATATGTAAAAACAATATAAATAGTTGTAAACAACAAAACTTTAGAGAAATATAATAAAAATAAAATAGAGTTATATAATAGAAAAATCAATTAGTAGTACTCTAAAATTATATCGAGGGAAAAAATTAGAATTTTAATTTTGTTTTTAAAAGGACAAAAAGAATTTGCACAAAAGAATGAAACTGCAACTTAATGTTTTTTTTGTAATTAAATTCATTCATTCTACTTAACTCTATCGATAGAGTTTTTTAAAGATCAGATATATCATTTTTATCTTTAAAGATCAGATATATCTGATCTTTAAAGGTTTATAACAACGTGTAACAATTACAATAACTTAAACGCCATTAAACTCAATGCTGTCAAAATGGAAGTTTTGCTTTCCGGAATACGACTAGTAACTAATTGCAAGATAACCCTAAAAACCATCATAATACCAAATGAAAAACTTAATCATCTGGGCTAGATGTGGGATACAGAAAAATTCAATTTTGTCTAACAAAATAAATCAAATATTATCAGTAGGGTACCAAATTTCGAAACAACTGTGCAAACTCTGATTCAATTTGGTATCCGATTCACACATCCATCATTAATTATCCAATTGTATAAATCTTCAGCAGTTCCAACGCTAACGCATGGTCTAGAACTCTGAGAAATAGAGACTTAAAATGCAAAACTTTATAAAATTGGAAGAAAAAAAGTTAAGTATTTTTTTTAATGTATCCAAGTATAGCAAAAACTATATTAACTCTCTATTTAGAGTTCAACGTACAAACAACAATATTAAATAAACCTATTTATCCGTCTATTCAATAATAAAGTAACTTTTGAAATTTTCAAAGTTCTTCGTTACTCCACTGAAAATAATCAAACAATTCCTTCAATTAAGACACAAAAACATTTAAAAAGTTTTTAATTTTTAAACGGCAAATGGGACATCTTTTGTTTCCGTCATTTGCAAGGATATCTGAACACTGAAGACAAATACAAAAGTAATTCAAGTAAACAAAGATTGAGATTGTAAATGCAATAAAGATTACATATATATCATCAAAATGTTATTAAGGGCACATATGAGCAAATTGTCGCAAATAAATCACGCTTTCAAGCCGTTTCAAAATATGAACAAATGATTTGATTTGTAAAATATTTCTTGGTATAGTGCGATTGTGAAATTATAATAGCTAGTTTATAGGATGGTTCGCACCTATCAGAAGAGACCCTAATGCCTTAAAGGATTACAAATAAATCAAGTTACTTTATTATGAGTTTAATAGACAGAATTTATCCTTTGCAATATTCATTTAAATATGGCAATACCTGATGATATATATCGTCTAGAAACCTCCAGAAGCTAGGGTGAGCAGCCATGCATCTATTCATTTTTGAATGCAGTGATTCCGAGACATTGTTGGTTCTAAATTGAAGTCCATGCACAGAAAAAAAAGCTGGGGTTTGTGTTGTCATCCAATACTTCTCAAAGTAATACACAAACTTTCTCATTTTTTCACGAGTTTCAATGTTTGCAAATCGACTCATCTCTGTTTTGAGTAAATCTACTTCTGCTCTGATGAGAACACAAGACAAGAGGCAGATGGCAACTAATTTCCGGCCCCACCTTTTAATTGCAGGGTTGTTGTTGTAATCAGATTGAAGACCAACAGCTTTGATTTTTCTTAAAATTACCTGGCCGTTATGAAACCGGCAACCAGTCAATCTTATTTCAGGGAAGACAACCTTTAAGGCACTGCCTATTGCTGCTTCATAGTCAGCCATAGAAATTCGTGGTTGAGAGTCACTTGAAAGTTCCTTAACTTTTCTAAATATAGCAATGTAAATACCTTCTTTTCTCCCAGTCATAAGTACATGAAACACAGGAAGGACAATGTCATAATGCATAATGGAGATATTTAGTAGTTGACCTCCTTTGAAGATGCTAGGAACAACGCGAAATGTTGCAACAATGAAAATAATTGTAGATCCTGAAAAAAATGAATAAATTTGTAAGAGTATTGAAAAATATAACAAAAACAGAATATTATAAGCAAGATAAGGTTAAAAGATGTTAAATAAATTTCTAAAAAAAAATTCACAAAAAGTCATCAACTTTGAGCCAAATTACTGTGCAACCTAAGAGTATTTGTGGAAAGTGCTGATGAACAAAATACTTTGGCCAACTGGTCTTCAAATCTGACGATTACTTTCAAAATATTGGTAAATGGATTTGGCTCAGATATTGCCAATACTGCTTCTTCTACGCTTTTAGGATTTGCACTGTACTGAATTTTTCTTGCAGCGCGAAGTATCTGTTCACATTTTAAGTAGGATAAAACATTTTTAACATTTTCAGGACAGTCTCGAATGATTTCCATGTAAATCTGGCGTTACGGAGTTTGTGTAGTTGCAGCTTTGAGTCTCATTCTTTCCATCGCTTCCAAATGCTAAAATCTTCTGTTTTGGAATCACAAGAGTGGCCTCGCATTGTCTCAAGTAAATCACTTCCTTCGCGAATTTTTGCAGTTCCACCACAAAGTTGATAGTTTTTGCACTTTAAATAAATGTAACCGTTGTGATTCTTATTTTTTACATAGCAATTATTCCCAGCTATGTAGAGGAATGAATTTCTCCTTTCGCCTTCAACTTTTTGATACTCTAATCTGTTGTTATTATTCCACCAACTACGAGATGTTTTTGAAAACAAACGATGCTTTTTTTTAATTTATTATGTAAAACTGTATTCAAAACAGTAAACGCATTAAACTTACACAACCTAGTAGAAATATTTCTTACGAAAAAAAAAGTACACCAGAAACGCATTACATTTTCAAAATCACCGTACCTTGTTCTGTTATGAGCTAGATTTTGAAAATATTCTGTCGATATCTAAAAAAATAAAAGGGGCTGGTCCAGAATTTTTAGTGTTTAAGATAGATAACTTTCAGAAATGGTGCTTTCATAAAATTTTGTAATAATCATACTAATGAAAAACAAAGCCTATCCACTTCGCGAAACTCCTGTTAATTGATCGAAACTGCATTCTGGGATGTCCTGCCGGACTTATTCCGCAACTGACACAAATATATATATTTTTTTAAACAAACTTTGCATCTTTGTTTTATGTGATATTTGTAAATATCTCAATTTTGTATTCAAGATATCTCAATTTTGTAACATT